TTGGTCTTCATTCCCCAGTCAGTGCTGTGATACCCTAATGCATAATGCAGAACCCTGTGCTTGTCCCATTCTGCCTTGAAATTGCATCTGGTTTCCAGTGACAAAAACATGGTAAGGCAATACCTTTCATTATGCTAACTTCAGCTGGTAAATATATAGAAGGTTTTCAGACAAGGGAGTGTTCATTATTGGGCTTCTGGGCATTGATGTTTTTACAGATCTTCAAGATTCATTATTGGGCTTTTAGGCATGCAAGTTCTTAATGAAATGTTAAGCTACAGTTGTTTGTATTGTATTTTCACCCACCGTTTAACACAAAATGTAGAACATGTCATTGATGTAGTTGAAGACTAAATCCAAATACAGAGTGATAGCAAAATCAAAACAACAAGAGAGTTGTGTGGCATCTTAAAGACTAACCAATTTGTTATGACAGAGGCTTTTGTGAATGACAGTCCACTTCATCAGATGCATGAAGTGTTATCCTGAGTTGCAGGTATACACACACACATACATGGTTTAGGTGTGGGACTGTAAATGGGAGAGTAAGAAAGAAATGAAATGCAGAAAAAAACTAGGGAGTGATAGCCATGTACAGCCAGCCCTCAATGAGGGTTACGTTTCACACTTAAAGCCAAAATTGCATGTAGTCAAAACACATTGGGTGCAATGGTTGGTGGGATTGCCAAAGTCTTTATTCCTGGATACTTGCCTCCTTTCTGCCCCCATTATTATTATTATTATTATTATTATTATTATTACCAGGCGCATAAAGATGAAAATTTTTGTACTTAAATTTAACATTTTGTAACTTAACTTTAAAATTTAAAGCAAGTCCATCATGTGCCATATCATATTAAAGCCCATGACATTCTGAAGAGATTAGCATTTTTAGTTTTGAAATATCTCAATTATGGGCTGAGATTTTAAGGTGTTTGTGTAGTCCGGCAAGGCCAAAATTGTCATTTTTTTGAAATTTCAAACCCCCATAATTAAAAAACGGGATGAGATAAAAAATCAAAAACTGAGATTTGGGACCTTCTCTTATACTACTTTTAGGAAACTGAAAGCAATATAAAATGGTAAGGTAAAAGTCATTGGATCACTTGACATGGAATGACCCCCACACCTTTTCCCCTGATGAGACCCAAGGCAGCTTACAAATAAGAACAAGAACTGCTAAAAACATAGACAAAACAATCATTAAAAACAATTTAATATTGGTAGAATAAAATGATATAAAATGTAAAATTTATTAAAACCATACAAATAATTACAGTAGAAACAGATTAACAGATTGTTCAATTCAATTGTGCGATTCATTAAGCTTTTCCCCTCCTCTCATATGGGGATGGCCCTACTCTGTGCCCATCCAGATAGTTCTTTGTCAATGAAACATTGAAATGGATATCCAGTGCCATCTGAAGGATGCATTCTCTAACTTGTGACTCTGACGTGTGTAGACTTGCACTGAATGTTAATACAGAGTGCCCCTGCTGTTAGCCAAAACTGTAACATCTAATCCAAAAGCTCAGTAATTATTCTTCACATTCATGTGATTTCAGATAGGCATGGCTGCTGGAACTGTAAACAGTGAGATCAGAAGGAAATGAAAGGCGAAAAATGCAAAGAGTGAATTCCGTTGCTGTTTATTGACATTGTTACAAATTAACAAAGCAGTTTTGGAGAAAGCATAAATCCTGGCACTGGTAGTCCAGTTAAAGATGCAATGTGATTTTTGAAAACTGCAAAGATTGCCCTATCAGTCCCATTAGCAGGAGGAAAAGAATTATGAAATAAAGTTGGGAGACAGTAAAAGAACTTTTGTATCACAATAAGTAAGGCATTATAAAAACCATAGCCTCCCCCCCCCTTATTTCTCATGTTCTGTGAATGAGAACCTCTGAGACAAAGAGGTTATTAAAACTTTAGCTTTTAAGCTCTCTATCAAATCTTATCATAAATTATGTTCTAAAGGACAATAATATCTGATTCATCTACTTATTACAGAATTTCTAAAGCCCAAGCCTCTATTTGCCTTCTCCTGAAGAGGCCATTTTCATTTTCAATCAGACAGTGGGACTTCTTTTTTCAAGTAAACATGCATAAAATGGGTCTGTGTCTGCGCTGCCATGGGCTCTGCAAATACTATGGTCTCTCTCCATGGTCTGTGACCTTTATACATTAGAAATTATTCTACATTGGTTGATAAAAAGTGTACTTGTTGGCAAACGTGTTTATTAACATCGCATTTCTTATGCAGATACGTAAATAAAGAAAGCGATATTCTGCCCTCTGCTGTTCCAGAGACAGAACTGTGAAACGTTGCATTAAAACCCCAATGAGGTGTTCCTTCCAAGTTTCTGTTTCTGGCACCCATCTCTTATCACTCAGACAAGCTTCGTCACATAAATGGTGCTAACTCAGCCTCTCGTACTAATGGTGGGAAATTGCTTCATCACTGAAAGTGGCCTTAGGATACAAGCCAGCTACAGGAAACCTGGAGCATGCAGTGTAAAGAAATAATTTTCTATCATTCTTCAGATATTGAAAAAGCTGCCACAAAGAATGATAACATGTGACAACGGTAACCTAAGCCTGGAGCTGGCAAAAGTTAAGGTGAAGCAGCCTGCAGGTTTTACTATAAGACATTGACACTTTGGTTCATTTTCCTTACTGATGATGACCCCGTGCAGAGGAGGCCTTAATGGGCAGAGCAAAGCCAGCACAAGGAGCCCCTTGTGGAACCCAAACCCCATGTGATCCTCATGTCCTCTCCAAATCTGCTCAGGAGGGTCAGGAGAACCCCCGGAACAGCACACGAGGGCAGGGAGATTGTTCGGTTTGGCCAGCAGAAATGCTTGCGCTGACGGAATTGTCACCTTAGCATGACATTGAATTCCAACCTTTGCATTCTGGCTCCTGTAAGCCCCTGCTGAGCCAGGCCTAGACTCATTGGAGGCCTGGGTCCACCCAGCTGGTCATGCCCTCACCACTGCTCCACTGCCTACTCAGAGCTTACGTGGTGGCATCAAGCCCTCGCAGGAGGATCCCAAATGCTGCCACAAGTGTCCAGAGTGGTTAAGAAAGAACCATAGGAACGACACTTCCAGTGGTATGTGGGCCTGGCAAAAGCTTTCCTGCAAACCTCACTACCCTCATCGCTGAGTATGTTAGGGAAAGGAAGGGGTAGTAGAGGGTCCCATTGAGGAGGCCCAATTGTAAGTTAATTAGTGAGGCAATTATAATTGGCCCAAATTAACTCATTTGTGTCAGTTCCATTCTAAATTGCAGCTGGGGCCCACCCATTTCTAGGGATATACAGTACAGTGTTCTAAAGAGTGTAGTAGTAATCGCTATGATTTGTAGGGCTCTATTGATATGTTTGAAGGGTGGGACTCCTCAGCCTTGAGCGGTGAATATGTTCTCTAGGTGTCTTTATCTGGGCCCTGGGACTCTCCCTAGGATCACCCTTCTGCCCCAGACCAGGACCCCTCACTGGCCATGCTCCTTGAGTGGTTTTACCAGGCTGAAATGTGTCCTTGAGCAGTGATCATGCCCTTTGCTTGTTTGGATGGAAAACTGAGAGAAATGCATGGTGGTTTGTATATAGAAACCTGACTTCCGCATGATGGGACTTGTGGCTTTCTGCAGGGGCAAAACTAGCTTTTATTTCACCTGGGTCAAAGACCCAGTTTGGCACACACCCACCCGCGTGCATTTGCAAACACACACACACACACACACACACACACACAAGCAGGGGGTTTCAATGGCACCCCTCTGAAGGCTTCACCAGTGTGAACAGGGAGAAATGTAAAGTATTGCACTTGGGCAAAAAAAATGAGAGGCACAAATACAAGATGGGTGACACCTGGCTTGAGAGCAGTACATGTGAAAAGGATCTAGGAGTCTTGGTTGACCACAAACTTGACATGAGCCAACAGTGTGACGCGGCAGCTAAAAAAGCCAATGCAATTCTGGGCCTCATCAATAGGAGTATAGCATCTAGATCAAGGGAAGTAATAGTGCCACTGTATTCTGCTCTGGTCAGACCTCACCTGGAGTACTGTGTCCAGTTCTGGGCACCACAGTTCAAGAAGGACACTGACAAACTGGAACGTGTCCAGAGGAGGGCAACCAAAATGGTCAAAGGCCTGGAAATGATGCCTTATGAGGAACGGCTAAGGGAGCTGGGCATGTTTAGCCTGGAGAAGAGGAGGTTAAGGGGTGATATGATAGCCATGTTCAAATATATAAAAGGATGTCACATAGAGGAGGGAGAAAGGTTGTTTTCTGCTGCTCCAGAGAAGCGGACACGGAGCAATGGATCCAAACTACAAGAAAGAAGATTCCACCTAAACATTAGGAAGAACTTCCTGACAGTAAGAGCTGTTCGACAGTGGAATTTGCTGCCAAGGAGTGTGATGGAGTCTCCTTCTTTGGAGGTCTTTAAGCAGAGGCTTGACAACCATATGTCAGGAGTGCTCTGATGGTGTTTCCTGCTTGGCAGGGGGTTGGACTCGATGGCCCTTGTGGTCTCTTCCAACTCTATGATTCTATGATTCTATGATTCTATGGTGTAGTGCTTTAGAGCAGTGGACTCGTAATCTGGTGAACCGGGTTGGTGTCCCTGCTCCTCCACATGCAGCTGCTGGGTGACCCTGGGCTAGCCACACTTCTCTGAAGTCTCTCAGCCCCACTCACCTCACAGAGTGTTTGTTGTGAGGGAGGAAGGGAAAAGGATATTGTTAGCCGCTTTAAGATGTCTTAGGGTGGTGATAAAGCGGGATATCAAATCCAAACTCTTCTTCTTCCCTTCTTCTTCACCCAGGGCAAAAAACCTGGCCAGCCTGCTGTATAAAAATGAGAGCACATTAGTGTGTCAGCTGCAGTGTGCAGGTGTGTCACCCAAACGCTCTTCACACTGCTGCTGGGGCTGGAAAGGGGTTAGTTAACCTTTGGTTTGCTAGTAAAACTGGATTACTGTTTTTGCAAAATGATGCAGGTCTAAAAAGTGTGTCGCCAACATGAAAAGTTTGGAAAACTCTGCTCTAGGGTATAGAGAAGCTCTTTAATAGAAGGGACCATGGCAACCATAACCCTGATGAAGGTAGAACTGGGACGTACCTGCAGGAGAAGGGCGGGGTGGATGGATATGACCAAGCAAATAAGATCAAAGGTCCAACAGCAACAAATGACACTCTTTAAAATTCTGAGCAAGCTTCCTGGTTGACTGAGTAGAACTCGAACACCCGACAGGGAAAGCAGAATCTGCAGGGTCGGGAAATACAGTGAGTCCTATCACCTTTCGGTAGCTTGGGTCATTATTAGGAGGATCATTGGTCACTGGTGGTGGCCAAGGCCTCTCGCAGGAAGGAGGGAGGGGTACGGAGAAAGACAGGGAGGGAGAGTCTCCAGGGTAAAGAATTAGATCTTTTTCATGCTAGAAATAGGGCAAATGGGGAAGACAGGGGTGGGGTGGAGGTGGCAGTGGATGCGAACCCATTTGCCCTTGAAACAGGCAATAGAATACCTAGGGTGAGATTCAATGTAGCACTAAGCGGGGTATAGGGAACAAGCTCAACTCACACAATGGAACAATCCCACCCCTTTCCCTCCCTTGCACCCCCTGAACCAGTTCTGGAGGTTCCTTTAACCCTCCAACGATGATTTAAGGGGCATAAGGGTGGATGGGCCAGGGGAAAGGAGGGAACTGCACACATATACCTCATCTCACCCATACAACGACATAGTTAAATCCCACCCCTATTTCTTACTCTCTTTTAGGGATGGGGGAGAATTTCAATTGTTTGCATTTAAAGGTGAATCTACCTAATCTGCGGGATGCAGGTGGCGCTGTGGGTTAAAACACAGAGCTTAGGACTTGCCGATGAGAAGGTCGGCAGGTTCGAATCCTCACAACGGGGTGAGCTCCCATTGCTTGGTCCCTGCTCCTGCCAATCTAGCAGTTCGAAAGCATGTCCACGTCCGGCGGGAAGGTAAACGGCATTTCCGTGCGCTGCTCTGGTTCGCCAGAAGCGGCTTAGTCATGCTGGCCACATGACCTGGAAGCTGTATGCCGGCTCCCTTGGCCAATAAAGCGAGATGAGCGCCTCAACCCCAGAGTCAGCCACGACTGGACCTAATGGTCAGGGGTCCCTTTACCTACCTAATCTACACTTTCGAAAACAATACGCATTATGCAATCAACCTTCCAAATTCACACTTCTCCAAATTTTGCAGTGTAGTTTTCCAGGCAGTTAACATATATTCATGAAAATAACGTAAAAAAAATGCATAATATAAGGCGAAAGTGCTTTCCATAACTGTGTGCGTTAGGCACAACTGAACCCAAAATGTGCTTACTAGAAGCAATTTTGTAGTACAATGCTGATGAATTTTCATGAGGACTTTTTTAAAAATATGGCAAACTAATGTGGATAACTAAATTTGAAATTTGAAAACGAGAAACCAAGAGAATGAAATTGAGAGAACCGCCCATCCCTAATCTACTGTATATATATGATTCCGGCATGAAGTGTATCTGTAAAAATCACTGGAGCTACTACTACTGCACTGGAGAGCGTGCAATTCTGATGTATTTAGAGAACAGTCTATAACCAGTCTGTGTCAGTTGTACATTCGTTCATTCATTTGTTCATAAACCTGTTCTGTCCCATTTCTGCATCAGTTTGTGATTTCTCCCTGAATACTTTTGTTTGGCTAGACTGTGGCCATGAAAGGTGATAATGCCTTTAATTTGCCTGAGTGGAGACTCTGTGTGTGTGTGTGTGTGTGTGTGTGTGTGTGTGTACACAAACCTCTGTACAAAGGTAAAAGCCACATCCATTGCTCTGTGGTTCTGGCCCTGCCTGCCAGTAGCATGCAGTTCCCAGAAGGTTGCTTACAAATGTGGCTGAAAAAGTATTTCCACCCCTGCTGTATATCAGTCTTCTACAACTTGATGCCCTCAAGAGGTTTTTGGACTACAACTCCTACCAGCCCCAGCCAGCTTGTTTCTACCAGCAACATAGAACTGTCTCCTGTCATTGCATATGCCCGAGGGAGCCCATATCAAACTCAGAGCAAGGAAAAACAATGTGCACTTTTCATGAACGAATTCATGGATTCTTTTCTCTTTCCCCTCTGTTACAGTAGCTGCATTGCTCAGCATGGACAATCAAGCATTCGTGGCTATTCCTCACCATGGTGTGATGGCCAGCCACCCAAACCAGATTTTGTACCCAACTGGTGCCATGCATTTGGGTGGCCAGCCCCTCGGAACAGGCTATCCAGGGAGCCATCTCTATGGAGGAACTGAGCCAGCTGGTAACTTACGTACAGAACGCAAAGGAGAACCCAGGGTGCTAGGGGTAAGTGACCCATCTCATACTATGGTCTCTGGGGATTATTGTGATCACCAATAAAGAGTTATATAGCAAAAATAATTATGTAAAGAACAGAAGTATCTTCCTCTATGGTTTCTTTGTGGACTAGCTTATACACCAAGCATTGCCTCTCTGTCACAATTCATCCACCCCAGCTCTGATATTCTGATTCACATCAAGGGATGTGGGGAAATAATTCAGCATTGAAAGGTGAACTCAACTCACCTAATTCACACTCTTTGGCACACTATGCGCACCAAAATGTAGCCATCTTTCAAAATGCACACTTCTCTGAAATATGCTTCACCGTAAAATGTTTTCTATTCGGGTACAATTGCTGTGCTAAGTGTGTATGTTTGGCAAAACTGCATGCTGAAATGTGTGTGGTAAGATAAATTCACCCTGAAGGGAAACTTTCTGGGGAGGGAGGGAAATTGTGATTTGTAGGAAAATGTGAAGAACTGAAATTAAGATTGGAAAAGTGAGAAACGGAGAGAAATTAAAAATGGTCCCATCTAAGCTGAACACCTGAAATATCTGCTTTCATGCAGATGCGGGATGCGGATGGCGCTGTGGGTTAAACCACAGAGCCTAGGACTTGCCGATCAGAAGGTCAGCGGTTCGAATCCCCGCGACGAGGTGAGCTCCCGTTGCTCAGTCCCTGCTCTTGCCAACCTAGCAGTTTGAAAGCACGTCAAAGTGCAAGTAGATAAATAGGTACCGCTCCAGCAGGAAGGTAAACGGCGTTTCCGTGTGCTGCTCTAGTTCGCCAGAAGCGGCTTAGTCATGCTGGCCACATGACCCAGAAGCTGTACGCTGGCTCCCTCAGTCAATAAAGCAAGATGAGCGTCGCAACCCCAGAGTCGGCCACGACTGGACCTAATGGTCAGGGGTCCCTTTTACCTTTACTAAGCTTAACACCTGAAACATCTGCTTTGGGGGAAATCCAGGTTTCCCTCTTCCCCTCACCCCCCAAAAACTGAGTTGCAGTGGAATTCCCCCACCCCACAGGCACACAAAACAATGTTTTCTGAATGCCACTTCTTCCCAAAGTGTGTTAAAGTTATCTATATCTATATCTACATCTATATAAACACACACCCTTTCGCCGCACTTCCGCAATCCTTATTCTGGCTGCTGTTAGGAAGGGAGGAACTTTATATGAGGCATTGTGTGAGAGTTGCTGCTGCACTAGGTGGGGTGGATGTACCCCAAACCAGGAGCTGGTAGCACCTCTTTGGCCCGGGTGAGCTTAGCTTCCCCCTCAAACAACACATGTAGCTGTTTCAATAGCAAAGCCTAAATGGTGGAAAGGCAGGATATGAAACTGTAAAATAAACAAACCAAGCCGTGGCAATTTTCTCACTCCTCTTTTGGCTGCGTACCTTTTCGTTTGTTTTAAATGTCATTTTTACAACCATACATTTGCACGATATATAGGGCGTGTCTAAAAAATGGATTTCTGAAACTCTGAAATGCTGCTCTTTGGGAATGGGGAGGGTGTTTTATGAAGACACAAAAGTTTGTCAGCGCTCTGGACAGTTCCTTCAGTTTCAAATTGACAGAATTTGTCTCCCCAAACAAGGACTGTCGAGGATACTGGGACTCATCTCACCTATTCTATTCAATTGTATTATTACAGGCTATCCAGATTCTGATTGGCTTGGTTCACATTAGTTTTGGGAGCCTCTTGACCCTTCTCTTGGACAGAAGCCGATCATACACTGTGCTCTCTGGATACGTGTACTGGGGCGGACTCATCGTAAGTAGGACCAGTTCAATTCAAACAAATTCATACTATGCCAGCCACTTCCCCGTTTGACAAGTGATTGCTGCAGGCAACCTTTCCTCTAAGGGAAAGAGAACCTCACTATTCAAGAAACCCTAAGAATAGGGAATTAAATAGCAGTTAGATGTTTCATGAATTCAATAGCACTTGAATGTGACATTTCGATGACTAATTGCCTAGTCTTTTTACATCCAACAGTTGACCAGCGGGGAGGTACCAACTAGGTGGAAAATTGGCCTTATCCACATGGTTTCTGGGATCAAATGCTTTCTGTGCATTTTGGAACGGACATGGAAGCAGCTCTTAAGCTGAGCCTAAATTTAGCGGTCATTTGTATAAGAAACCCAAATTGCTGGTTTCTCTTAGGAATACCAAACTGAATTCAGATAATTCAGATAATTTGCCAGGTTGAGTTCAGACAATTTAATGCAGGTAGGGATACCAACATATAACATGTGTATGTATGTGTGTTCAATTTATTTGGATGCTCAGACACTACATTGAGGAATCACAGCTTCTTAGCTCAAGGCTGAACTCCAATTTCCTATGCTTTCCAGGAGATGGTAGGTTATGCATCAAAGACAGGAATGGTAACTACAACAGAAAAAAATCACATTCAGGAAATGCACGTAGTGCATTTTTTCCTGTCCTAAATATCTTGCCCCTGGCCCCTTACTTTTGCCTCATAACTCCTGTAGACAGCCTGCCCCATTTGTCAGCATCCTCTTTTATCTGCATAAGTCTTTTCCCACCTGAATTTGGAGTGAAGTTTTACTCTAATCCTGATTTGTTTTTCTTGTGTGACCCAGTTCATCATTTCCGGATTTGCATTGGCGATAACTGAGCATAACAGATCATCCCTACAGGTGAGTCTGGTTCCTCACATCCTGCCCTGCCTCTCAACCCACCATTTACTGCACATATATTGCACACTTTCTTTGGGAGCTCAGTACAGCTTACACAAGACTTCTAAAAATCCTCCTGTCAGGACTTCAGGGCTACAGAATCTGTAGCATCCTCCTTGTTCTGAATTTCCCCCCAGATAAGAGCAGCCAACTCTTATTGGAGTCCCAAACCTTGTGACTCCTCAGAGAGGTCTTGGAATAGCATGGAAAAGCTGAGACTCTTTTAATCATTGAGCCTTCTAAAATGGCGTTTTCTTAGAGAGATTCCTGGAAATAATCTGACTTCTATTGGCAGTTGTTTCTAAGGTCTGACCTTGGATTGAAGCAGTATTTCATCCCTGCATAATTGATCTAGGAAGTAGGCTTGTCCAAAATTTATCAGAAAACAATTTTTTGATACTTAAAAAAAACACGTTTTCTTTTTCCAAGCTCTTCCTGAAGACTTGGAGAATTTCAGTCCACCCACGGATAATACCTGCAAAACTCCCACTTCTTTTAATGCTCACAAATAACATGGAGAAATTTTGGGGCGCCATTTTCAGACAGCCCTAGTTTTCACATAGTCAAAAGGAGGTAAAAAAAAAAAAAAGGCCAAACTCTTGCAATTCCATTAATAGAGATGGTGCCAAAAGTTCTAGTCATGCATTTTAAAGCTGCATCTGTGGAAGGGTAGTGGGAAGTGTACAGGAAGATCTGAAGTGGGATATAACCATGTTTGGCTTGCATGCTTGCAATTCTCTCCACCACAAGGAACCCTAGGTTCTTGTTCACAGGGAGGACAGTCACTGCATCCGGCCAAAGCACCTCCTCCTTTAAACCTTCCCACTCAACTCAGGAAGATGCGGGGCAGGTGGTGGGGCTGGGAGCAGTGTGCATAGCCCACCTCCCCCACCATGTTTAAGAATATCTGAATAGGGCTGTGGTAGCCAGCATGGTGCCCTTGAGATGTTGTTGGACTACAACTCCCATCAGCCCCAGCCAGCAGGGCCATCGCTCAGGGATGCTGGGATGGCCAGCAACACTTGGAAGGCACGGTATTGGCTATCCCTGGTATAAGGCTTTTGTCAGGTTGCTATGCAGCATGACCAGAATAGCTTGTACCCTAAGGGTGTATTTGTTTCTTACAGATGAAAGTCAGCGCATGCCTGAACATTGTGAGCACTCTTGCTGCAACTGTTGGGATAATTGTTCTCCTCATAGATGAAAATGTTTTTCCTGTTTATTATACGCCCTCTGACTTAATACACCTGGTAAGCCTGTTTTGGGGAATGTTGAGTTCTGAACTTATTTTAGCAGCAGTTGAATGGGCTGCATCTGAAAGCTCCCTTAACCTGGATGTAGCAAATGGGGTTGGCTGCCAAACACCTGATATACCCCCCCCCCTGTAATCCTCATCCTTTATTTGCTTTGCCCTCATTATATCCCTTGCCATTTATCAAGTGGTGTGAAGCGAAACTGCTACTGGGTAGGAGGATCTGGCAGGAGGGTAGTTTTAAGCCAGGGAGATAAAATAGGCCTTTCTTAGTCACCTGAGCCATAAAGGAATCAGCCGGAGCTTGATTTAATATAATGGCAACCTCACAACTTTTTAAGGCTGTGTCTCCTTCCACTGCCAGCTTGTAGATGTGGCAGGAAAAGAGTTCACAAGATGAACTAGGTCCCAGCACCAACACTGCTGCACAGACCATGCAGAGGTAGAGTTATATCATTGACTGCGCTAATAATACTAATAAGGCTAATGCTAATGCTAATAAGTCGTCTAGCAACAATTGAATTTAACATTTCAGCCACATAGGGACTAGTTTGGCTCTTCAATGGCAAATATATTGGAACCAGGGACAGTGAATTAACTGTGTACCCTGCTCTCAGGTACAGCCAAGCCCCTCAGACATCACTTGGACTACAGAGAAACCCTGCTACAGGCTGGTGTGTGTTAAAAACACAAGCTCTGCAAATAAACCTGACTTCTTAATACCTGTGTGGAGCCTGAATCAGCCGCAGACGTTAATAGATGACAGAGGGCTCATCTGTGCTTCTGCTTGGCCTGTGCTTTCTAGGCATGGGTCCGAGTGCTTTTGTGTTTTCCCCACCCCCTGGAAAACCCACTCTTTAGTGATAAATTGGAACAAATGGCAATCCGCAGAAAACCGTGTGCTCTGATTCAGCACTGAACCATGGGGAAAGCTGCAGGGCAGACAGAAGTGTGTAAAAGCCCACAGTGGTGATTTCTTAAGATCACAGCTAATTTTAACTTGTTTCCATTATTTATATATATACAGGCAATGATTGTTTAGTGTGGGGGTTATGTTCCTGACTCCCACGCATGTTGGCGAAGCACACATAAGCCCACCACACCCCGCCTCCTTTCTGGCCACTTCCGGGTTGCTGTGATGCATGTGGTTGCGGTTGCACATCAATTGGACACACGTAAATCGGCCATTGCCTGTATAAAAAAGCATTCAAGTAAACGAGGAAATTACTTTTCTCCCTTTGGGTGCCGAATTCATCACACATTAGCAAATGCCAAATCTAAAAATTGGTGATCCAGATGTTGGTGTTGTCAGAACCTCTTTATGAGTGTGTTTCAGAACCATAGGACCTGGGAATCTGAAGTTGCAACAATGTTTAAGGCAAAATACTGATCAATCTTAAATTAAAATGTTTAATATTTAAAATATTATTTACTATTACAATTGAACAGTATTGCTATCTAAAGGCAAACACTGGGTCTTTTATTTTATCATCTATTACTTTAGTAGTTTTCTGTGGTGATTCAGTTATCCTTAATTGTGTAACCTTAATATGATCTGACGGCATGGCTTTATGTTTGGCAGAGAGTAGCCCTAGGACTTTTAAATGTCATCTTGATCTTTGCCGTCCTGGAGTTCTTCATTGGAATGGTCTCTCTAAGTTTTGGGTATGAAGCAATATTCTGTCGAGGTGAAGAGGTAAGCATCTCCATGGGACTTCTTCTGGGGTAGGGGGGTGAAACTTGTAAGATGTTTGCTTTGGGAAAATGGGAACCAGGTGGCCTCTAGAGAATTAAAAGGAGGAGGAGATGCTACTGGGAGAAAATTAAGTCAGTGGTGGCATCTGGAAGGATGTAAAGCGTAATAATAGCATCTGAGACCTTCTAATTGTTCATTGTAATCTACTTTCCAGGCAATATATGATGTGCCAGATGCAGTCATACCACACCAAGGAAATCTTCTGCCAATAGGTCCTCCTCCATCTTATGAAGCATATGCCAACCCGTGCTATGAACCCTCAAGCCAGGGAGAATAGAAAAGCCAGGATGAGATTCCTAAGAACAATTACACCCAGTTCAGGTCTTCTGGAATGCCAAGTCAATCACAAACTTCAGATGTGTCTCTGCTGTGTTATGTACATAGTCTTGGGAGAAAGGCCTGGGAATAAGAAGGCATGTCTCTTTGAAACTCCACTGTTGCTGGCACAATGTCCTAGCTTCCCCATTGTAAAGCAACCTACCTGTCGCGATTCAAGCATTCTTCAGCCAGAGATAGACTGATCAATCTGATTCTGTCCTCTCTCAGTTTCGCTGGCTTCAAATCATAGGTCTGTTCCATGTGGTTGTTGTATAGACTTTTTTGTTGCTCAAAGGATGGACAAAAAGTTTCTATTTAAATTGTGCACATTTTGTATGCACCTCTTATGTCAAACTGACACTCTTTTCATCAAATATGCATTTCCCAATACTTTTCAATGCATTTGCCTGTAAAATGTGAATTTTGTAAAAAAAATTAAATTTAAAATATGTGTGCCCTTTACACACACCAATAATGCACTGCAGAATCCTTATAAAGCTGTGACCTGACTGGGAGTTGTATTCTGATCTGCAAGCAAGTCCAGCCTTGTCTAGGGTTGCCATGTTTCAAAAAGTGAAAATCCAGACAGAAAAGTTGTAGAACTATTTTTTGGCAAACGTTTTGAGCTATTCCTGAGGGAAATCAGCAAAAATGACCTTGCTGACATGGATTTTCCAGGATATTTAGCCAATTTCCACACGGACACTGCTTGTGACTGCAGTATTCTGGATATGTCTGGGAAATTATGGACTTATGGCAACCCTAGCCTTGTCAGATTGGTTGAGTTCACTGCAAAACAAATTCTTCCTCTGTTCTTACCATACATGCACTGGAATTTCTTCCTGGTTATTCTCATCTATGAGGACGGGGGGAGGAAATCTCTTCCAGTTCTCATATTTTAGTGAACAAAAACCCCAGGGAAAAAAATCAATTTTCAACTATCACAGAAAATAGCACTAAACTTGCACTGTATTCCTGGAAGTGGCTTTTAGGAAAGTTCAAATATAATGCAGAAGGGAACAGTTATGGAAACAGAATAAACTAGCATTATGGATGCAGCCTAATTTAGTATAAGGTAGCATCCTGTGTCCCTTTGAGAAATATAATGAAGTTCAATGCCATAAAAAAAAGCTAAAACAGAACGAATAAGCCTCTTTAATGCCTTATATGTCAAAGATGACCCCATGAGCAGAGTGGGGCTGCATTTAGTGTGCCTTTGGCTCACCACCAACTTCCATGCATTGAGTGTACTTGATTGAATAAGAGAAGCCTACACATATATACTGCTACCTGATCCGGACCCCTGATTCTGCCAAGGTTCCAGATTGCAGAAAAGCCTATGCATGGAAAAATATTTGGATGTAGGTTTCCCTTTTTCATATGCTATGGCCACTCCAGGGGTGGAGCTAGCCGCTCGAGCACCCGGAGTGGCGCACATGCCGTGCACTCGGGGGCGGGGCAATCTGCCCATAGGGTGGGGCAATCCTCCCAGGGGGCCAATCATGGCGTGGCTATCCTCCTGTGGGGCGGCCAATCGTGGTGTGGCAGTGTGATCCTCCCGGTGGGAGTCCGATCGTGGCGCGGTGGCGTGATCGGCCCAGGGGGGATTTTGTCACCCCCCCTCTGGGATGACAACCGGGGCAGCCTGCCCCCACCGCACCCCCCTTCCTACACCCCTGGGTGTTGCTCCACTTCCCCTTCTAAATGGGGAGTTCTCTTAGCCACTGTGGTGTAGTGCTTAAGAGCGGTGGACTCGTAATCTGGGGAACTGGGTTCGCGTCTCCGCTCCTCCACATGCAGCTGCTGGGTGACCTTGGGCTAGTCACACTTCTCTGAAGTCTCTCAGCCCCACTCACCTCACAGAGTGTTTGTTGTGGGGGAGGAAGGGAAAGGAGATTGTTAGCCACTTTGAGACTCCTTGGGGTAGTGATAAAGCGGGATATCAAATCCAAACCCTTCTGTCAAAATGTCTTGCGGAACCTTCCAGCGTTATGGGAAATTCCAACCGTCACTCTTCATTTGTCTCTTTTCTCTCAATCTCTGCTCTAATATATAGGTAGCCTTATGCCAAGTTTCTCATGGACTGTGTTACTCTGAACAAAATAATCCTGACAGATTTACCAGTGCATTGACTGGTTTTGCCGTTAAGCGAGAGAATGGAGTCTTGGTTTCCAAGCTTTTTACTGCCTCAGGAGGGTCACATTTTTTCACCATGACAGCATAGCCGCAAGTCATGCAAAACATTCTTCTTCCCATGTCCATCCATGAGACATGAGCTACTGTGACGATGTCAGCTCAGTTTCTCTTTGAAATTTATACCAAAGAACTGATTTGTAGCCATGATCCTGACCACATCAACTTTTTAACCATGGCTGAACTATTTTGTTTGCTTTCCTGCAAAACCATCACATCACATTTTAATGTAAATATTGTCATGAACTGATTAAAATGAGACTTGTAACTTTTACACATTTTTTAATCTACTGGTTTTATAACTTTAATTTCATAAATGCTTGTAGTTAAGAGATGGGATTTCACTTATATGGATAAATATATGGATAAACCTAAAGTTACAACCAGAATATATGAACCCTACATTACTGCATTAGTTATGAAGTGCACAATGGGTTTCCAAAAGAAAAAACGGATGTGAATAAATGTTAGAAGCAGAAACGATGACTGTTCTCTCTCTCTCTCTCTCTCTCTCTCTCTCTCTCTCTCTCTCTCTCTTAATTCGTTAGTAGAAGCTCTTTAAAACATCCAATTTTGTTGCCTTTTTCAGCTATTCTCTCTGAAGCTAGGTCACTGTGTGTTCAGCATGCCCTTTTTTTTTTTTTGATATTTATTACGGCCATTGGCCCGTTACCGCATGCCCATTTTGTCCTGGGTGGTGTTGTGTACAGCCCTAGAATATTGCATCTCAGGAGAGGAAAAGAACAGTCAGATGATAATATATGAGGTTGCCATATCTCAGGTTACACATTCCACTCCTTTGTAATATGACTGCCATGATCTCTAAGGAAGCTTCATGATTCTAGCCAAGAAAATCATTTGAAAACAAACCTGGTGTGTTCATAACTTTGCCATTAGTTGTCCTGTTCTGATCACATAAAAGGAGTACAAACCTTCCATAATTTCGTGGTTGAAAGTAAGGGCACTCATAAAAATCTTGTGTTCCTGCTCGGGTTCTGCCACGGTTTCCAGACCATTTTAAAGGAAATGTCATGCAACACGTCATGCAATAGTCATGCAATAGTTTAAGCAGGAAGTTAGAAGTGCATTGGTGATTGTGGCTTAGCCACCCAGTTTGAAGCTGATATATCAGCCAAAGCAGATAAAAGGTGCTTCAAGTCACATAACAATTCAAAGTGTTGGTGCTGACCTTTAAAGAGGTAATAGTAAGCCTGAGGAGGGCAGAATGGAGGAGAGGAGCAGCAACAGGGTCAGGAAAGGGGATGAACTCGCCTCATTGTGCTGGGCTGGGTGGTGAGCTGGAAAGTTACCCACCTTCACCTCCCTTTGGGGGTTGTTTCTGGACAGGAGAAGGAAATAAGCTGGTCATTGGAAGATTGCAATAGGCACATCGGAACACTAGAGGGAACTCCAGTGTAACAGACAGTGAGAAAAGGGTCTGGTGATGCAAGCATAATGGAAAAACAGAAAGCCAAAAAGGTGTTCGTGGTCGTGGTCTCCATGATAAGATAGGTGTCTGCATCCTATCCCTATAGAATGGGATATATTGCAGCCTTACTCCCTTTTCTCAATGGCAGAAGAGTCACAGGTTGTGCTTCGAGGGTTTCAGAAAAGTAAACTCTCACATGCACACTATTGCAGTTCTACTTTTTTTTTAAGAGATTGGTTCCATTTTACAGCTGAGGAACAGTGAGACAAAATAATAATAAGTGCATTCATCGAATTCTTCAGCAGAAATAATAGTTAACTAATTGAGTGTTTAGCACTGAACAGTTGAGCTTAAGAATAAACTAAAAGTTCCAGCACTTCTCTCGTGGCAAGTTAAATACTGACTTCACCTCCATTGCTAGCAAATTACAAAGAAGTTATTTGAAGCTTCTTAAGCTCTTTCTTGCTATAGGCAAGGGACTGATGTCAGCATCTGTCACTGTTGAGCAGGTGCCAGGTCCTCAACATCTTACGGGGTCTCACTGATTACATTGTCTTGGCTCCCCTTCAACACTGCCACCATCCCCAGCCTCTTGTGACTCTTAAGGCATTGTGGGACATCATATGGCTGTCTTCACAAAATGATTTTCCGCACCAAAATACAGGCCTGCACCACAGTGGAGGCTGTAGTGGTTTTGTAGCGATGGCTATATACCACCCCACTCCTTCTGTTAGTGAAATATTAGGGCCATATGTACTATACATTTAATGCAGTATTATAGCACTGTAACAGTCTTGGCTTACCCCCAAGGGTACAGTGGTACCTCGGTTTTCGAACGCAATCCTTTCCATAAGACGGTTTGACTTTCGAAACGTTCGAAAACCGAGGCGCAAATGGCCGCCTGCAATTTCCATTCAGAAAATTGAAAAAAACTCAGCGGAAGCCGTTTGACTTCCGAGGCATGTTCGAAAACGGAAGCAATTACTTCTGGGTTTTCGGCGTTCAAAAACTGAAACGTTCGGCTTCTGAGACACTCAAAAACCGAGGTACCACTGGAACAGGAAGTTTTGTTTGTCAAAGGTGCCCAGAGTTGTTAGGAGATCCCTATTTCTACAATTTCCCTAGCTACAATTTCCAGAGTGGTTTAACAGTCCATCACAATTTCCCTAGCTACAATTTCCAGAGTGGTTTAACAGTCCATCACTTTTTGCAGGGAACTCTGGAATCTCATACCCTCCAACATTTCTCTGATGAAAATAGGGACATCCTAAGGAAAAGCGGGACATTCCAGGACATCCTATTTCATAATAATTTTACAATTTCTACACTACCCATCTGACTGGGTTACCCCAGTCACTCTGGGCAACTTCAAACATACTGTATATAAAAACATAATAAAACATTAAACATTAAAAAAAAACTTCCCTATACAGAACTGCCTTCAGATGGCTTAGGGGGTCTGATAACTCCATACCCTCCAACATTTCTCCAATGAAAATAGGGACATCCTAACAGTGGCGTAGCGTGGGGGGTGCAGGGGGGGCCGGCTGCACCGGGCGCAACATCTGGGGTTAGGGCAAATCCACAGGTTAGGGGGCGCAAATCCACGGGTTAGGGGGCGCAAATTACTTGCCTTGCCCCGGGTGCTGACAACCCACGCTACGCCACTGCATCCTAAGGAAAAGTGGGACATTTTGGGATCAAATCAGAAACTGTGACAGCTTCTGTAAATCTGGGACTGTCCCTGGAAAATAGGGACACTTGGAGGGTCTGGAATCTAGCTCTGTGGGGGGAAATGAGGGTACTGAGAGTTGTTCGGAGACCCCTATTTCCCACACAGAGCTACTATAAGGGAAGTAGGGGTCTCTGCATAACTCTCAGCACTCTCAGCAAACTACAGTCCTTGGGATTCTTTAGAAGCCATGACTGCTAAGTGGTACAGTAATCCTTTAAACGCATGGTGTGGAAGTGTCCTAGGACTAAAAGACAGGATTTAAGAGATTCACTTAGATCCATGGTTGTCCAAAATGAGCATTTTGTACAAGTTTAGAAGATCTCTCTGGTGGGAGGTGAAAAGGAACATCTGAGATTAAACAAATCACACACACAGTCTCAATGCAGAATACAAAGGCAAGCCAAGACGGAAGACAGAAAGTTATTTTGGAGTTCCTTGGCAAGAGCGAGGAGAATAACTGAAATGGAAAAAGTCCAGAGTACCATAATCAACAGTGAAATGAGACAAAAGGAAGGAAAGGGGACGAGTCAGAGTCTGGTGCTGTGTAAACACCCCTTTTACACACGATTGCTTTCACTTCTCCCTGCTTCCTGGTGATACCTGAGACACACACTGTGAGGCTGAGGACGATCAGATCCAGGAGTGTAACGTAAGTACTTTTGGACAAAATTAATTAAATTGATTTGGGGACAGTATTTTATTTGATCCAGGCCTCAACTGGGAAAGCCCTGAAAGAATAAAATGGTTCTGCTGAACATGAGT